GAGAGAACGAGCGTGCAAAAGTGTATGTGTGTGTGTGTGAGAAAGAGAGCGAGAGAGAGAGAGAGAGAGAGAGAGCGAGCGAGAGAGAGAGAGAGAGAGAGAGCGAGAGAGAGAGAGAGAGCGAGCGTAAGGTTCGTGAAATTGGATGAGAGAGCGAGGAGCAAAAGTGTATGTGTGTGTGTGGGAGAGAGCGAGAGAGAGAGAGAGCGAGAGAGAGAGAGAGAAAGAGAGAGAGAGAGAGCGAGGGAGAGATAGCGCGCGAAAGAGCGAGGGAGAGAGGGAGAGCGAGAGAAAGCGCGAGCGAGAGAGATAGAGAGAGAGAGCGCGCGAGGGAGAAAGAGAGAGAGAGAGAGAGAGAGAGAGAGAGAGAGAGAGAGAGAGAGAGAGAGAGAGAGAGAGGGCGAGAAGAGCGAGGGAAATAGAGAGAGGGAGAGAGAGAAAGAGAGTGATTGCGTGCGAGAGCGAGGGAGAGAGTGTGTGTGTGTGTGTGAGAGAGGGAGAGAGAGATGGAAGGAGGGAGAGAGTGAGAGAGAGTGCAAAGTGTGCAGCACAAAGATGACGCATAGCGGGACTAGCTGCGTTGCGCGCGTGTCAGTGCATCCACAGTAATCTACCGATCACCGGGAAGGCATTTAAACCGCAATACGCCTGCCTCTACCCCCTACCCGATAATTTACCCCCTCCGCCTCCTCCTCTCACTCCCGCTCGTTCGCATCGGTTGAATAATTCATGCGGCTCTGATAACAGGCGAGCCCTGGCGATGAAATGTCAAATTTCGGTAAAAAAAATGAAATGTTCACATATACACGCGGAGACAGGTTCACGAGGCGTATTTCTTCCTCAGCTGAAACGGGCCGTCAGTATTAGATATATCAGATCGATCGTAACTGCGGGTGGTTTTACGTGCAGCGAGGTCATGGGCGGTTTTTTCTCTGTGCGTGCGTTCGCACTAGTTTGCGGTTCCGGCATGTGATGCGTGAAATCCTCGTCACGTCTCGGCGGCGGGCGGGAAAGCGCAGGAGGCAGACGATCCACGAGTATATGAAGACGATCCACGACTCCTTGCTCTACCCTCGCCCCTTCCTGCCATCCTAGCTGTGATAACGTGCCCGCCTTTCGCGGACGCTGCTGTAGTTGCTGGCTATAGCGAGAAAAAGATGAGTACAGCAACACCACTATTAACGTCGTTGAATTCAACGTTGTTTCGTTGCAACGTCGTTGAAAAAAATGCTACCACCACTGCGTAAGTGGATTATTAACTTTTTTAATATTTTAAAAGCTATCTTTGGTTAAAACGCGATCAGGTGGCAGAGCGTTTCATTTAACGTCGTTTCAGTTAAAGTCGGGGTTTTCAGGAACCTAATTACTACGTACTTTATAACTACGACGTTAATCGGGGAAATGGTGTATCATTGGATAATGGGAGGTAGAGCTAGTGTAGCGATGCAAATTGATGCGAGTGAAAGTTAGGGTTAGGGTTAGGGTTCTTTTTTCGAACCCATTTCGGACGCTTGGATCAGAACCTATTTGAAGAGCGTCTTAATACACTAATTGACACTAGAAGCCAACTGGCATTGTTAACCTTTAGGAAGACATATGGTGTTATTAGCTTTAGAGTGATGTTGGAGTCATTAGTTCTAAAGAGCATTCATAAGAGACGTGGCCAACATAATCAGCCAGTAGCAACTCTAAGAGATAGCTAATGCAACCGGGAATATCGGCAGCCAGCCAGTGGCGAGGAGAATGGGGCGTCAAACGTTCAATAGGGCAGATAGGCGAGAGGTCCAGCGTGTGAGGGAGAACACGTGTCCACCGAAAAGCCACGCCCGAGATATATAAATTCGCGGCCGGGAGAGGAGTGGAGGAAGGAGAGATGTATGGAAGAGCGAGGGGACGTGATGAAGGAGAGAGATGAAGGCGGGGGGGGGAGATGTAGGAAATGGGAGAGACGGGAGTGAGTCGAGAATACGACTGACGTTTGTAACTGTGCTGAATCAAAGAATAAAAGAACATTATCCTGTGAGTGCATGCTGTTCGCCTCATGCAGAGACTGTGTACATTTCTCAACGTTACACGAGTTGTACGGTGTGGTATACGTGAACCTACGCGGTGTGCGTCTATTTTTTCCGTACCGCAAATGCGTAAACGTCCTACACGGGTTCCTCTGATTGGCTGCTTTGCTTTGCTTTAACGCAACAACCCTTCAAAACAAGAGAACAAACGCCCACTTGTAAATGTTTGTTTTAGTTCATCTTCAGTAAATAAGTAAGTTTTCTGATGTATTTTCTATGAAAAACACACATTTTACTCATTCATATATAATATAATATCACTATAATTACAATTCTATGTGTAACTGTGCTATTTTCATCTTAATCTCAAGTTATGAGAGGGTTTGGGCTCTCGTAACACTTAGTACATACGTACGTACTCGTACTAGCGTCCTCGTCACGATCCTTGTGATCGAATCCTAAAGGACGGGGAGTAACGGTCCTGTCAGGGTGCGCGGCGACAACGGCAACTGGACCTATACCACGGCCAATGGTAGTAGTCGGTTAGGTAAAGAGATAGCAAATCCGTTACACTGGAGCCGTAAACCAGGATTGCGACGTGATGGCGAGACGACGAACGACACGCCAGACAGTCGGGGCCAAGTTGGAGATGCAGGGCGTTGGATGGGACCAAACAGACACCATTTGTGCGCAGTAGTGGAAGGAGGAGAGAAGAAGATATGGCGTGTTAGAGATGGACCACGAGGAGTGAAAACGAAAGTTGGCAGCCGGTCGTGAGCTGCTGGCGAAATTTCAGAGGACAGTGTTAGAGATGGAAGACGAGGAGCGAAAACGAAAGTTGGCAGCCGGTCGTGGGCTGCTGGCGAAGTTTCAGAGGGCAAAGAAGAAAGGCAAGAAGCGTAAGGTGGTGACAGGCATGCGTGACGCGAAGGCAGTTTTGGTCATGCCAGAAGAAAGTTCACGCTCACCACCTCGCTACCTCACGCCTGTATTATGAGAGCGATCATTCCTGTTCAAAGTGCAGACGATTGGCTGATGAGGTTGGGCCACACCGGTGGCGGCGACCGTCGGATGCCGACGCTGCACGACATGCAAGAGGTTCTCGAGGGAGCACTGTCTTCTAGAGGAAGTTGCTAGTGGGAAAGGAAGACTTCCACGAAAAAAGGAAGCTACTGTGTCCAAGCCTAAGTAGCGAGCTACTTGGGAAGGGAGGCTTCCATAACCAGCTTCGGGATGGTGCTGCGATTGAGAGCGAAGCCTCGCTGTCCTGCCTGCAGAAGGAGCTGAGTGAAAAGGAAGCTTTGCTGTCCGGCCTGCAGAAGGAGCTGAACGAGAAGGAAGCCTCGCTGTCTGGCCTGCAGAAGGAGCTGAACGAGAAGGAAGCCTCGCTGTCTGGCCTGCAGAAGGAGCTGAGCGTGAAGGAAGCCTTGCTGTTCGGCCTGCAGAAGGAGCTGAGCGAGAAGGAAGCCGCAGTGAGCACGCTGGAGAGCTGCCTGAAGGAGAAGAATCTCTCTGTCGCTGAGAAGGAGGCGGCACTAGAGAGCGCTGTAGCGAGACTCGCCGAGGCGGAGAGGTTGGAGTTGGTGCGACGAGCCACGTGAGGGCGTAGTGGAGGATAGGCAGGAATCCGTTGAGGAGATAAGCGAGATGCCCGCCGACCAAGGAATGGTCCGCGCCGAAGACATAGTGTCGGAACAGTGCGTCGCGGAAATCCCAGCGGTTCTACCTCCTCCACCCACAGCATAGCCGGAGATGACGGGGATACTGAGGCAGAAAGAACGGAGATGCTGAGGCGGAGAGTACGAGGTGGCTGAGCCACGTGAGGACGTAGTGGAGGATAGGCAGGAACCTGCTGAGGAGGTAAGCGAGATGCCCGCTGACCAAGGACTGGTCCGCGCCGACGACATAACGTTGGAACAGTGCGTCGCAGAAATCTCAGCGGATCTACCTCCTTCACCCACAGCACAGCCGGAGATGACGGGGATGCTGAAGCAGAGATAACGGGGATGCTGAGAAAGATGAGTGGCAGCGGGAGGGAAGAAGAAGAGACCTCTACGGTGGCATTAGGATCGCTCAAACTGGGGTAGGCCCCCATGGTGAGATAACACTGCACGAGTCTGTGGAGAGGAGGAAGTGACGAAGCGTACGACGCCTCGAGAGTCTCCTGCAGGTGCTGATCACGCTCGCGGGGTTACGACTCCTCCTTTCCAACACTGCCGGATGTGTTAGCGGAGCGGACGGGGATGGCACGTGTCGATCTGGAGTAACGACGCGGGTGGTAGGGTCACGCCTACTGCCTGTGCGGGCAGATATCGCCTTGCCCGTGTAGACCCGCCGAGGAGCGGGTTGCGTGTTGTCGCCCGAGCGCCGGCGACGTGATTGCCGCTCGACAGACTAAATAGATGGTGGGTGGCAGAAGACGAACACTGAAAAGAGCGAAGCCAACCTGTCGTCGTAGAACTCTTCATGGAACTCTCCTCTTCTCTCTTATCTTGTAGAGGTCATGGAACTCTTCCCTCTTTGTGGAACACTCATAATACGTGGTGAGACTGAGACAGTAACACGTGGTGAGACTGAGACAGTAACACGTGGTGAGACCGAGAACATAGCACGTGGTGAGACTGAGACAGTAACACGTGGTGAGACTGAGACAGTAACACAGCGAGTTCCCGGGGGCCAGGGAACCTACAGGATCGCCGTCGACGCCAAACGTTCTACCGACCCGTGGACATGGAGGAGGCCACGTCACAGTGTGGGAGGAACTTCGCATAGTGCCGGGGCCCACTAAGCGCCCCGTGCCGCGATTAGTTTATTTTGTAGTTGACGCATTCTTTTGTAATGTTTACCGCTGGGCGGTTGCCCCTTGTTCTTAGCGGAGTGTGTGTTTACAACGTGCGGTTGTTTGCCGTGGTTAGTATAGCATGTGTCATCTGCTATGTTTTATTTTTATTTGGTAGTATAAATTGAGCAGGGGCTTTTCAATTTTAAGTTGGGCGGAGTGTAGCAGATTCGCTTTTAGTATCGTGCGTTTCTGTAGTTGGTGTTACAGTTTTATTTCACGAGAGATGGCACTAGGGGGGGGGGTGTCCCGCAATGAACCATTTTTGTGTACCCTCCGCGATAACAGTTCCAGGAAGTGGAAACAATAGACAGAAAGGGCGCGAAAAGGGGAAGACACGCCGGAGGTTTGTGGGAGAGCAGCTGTGTTTAGAATGTGTCCGATATTAACCGTGCATGTGCATTACTGTAGAGTGTTCGGGATGTGTGATATCATGCAGACTTTCATAGTGCGCGTACAGTAGCTAGTATTCGAGTGCTGACATGGGCAGTGAGTGTGCGCAGACACATCGGAGGTTGTGAGTGAGTCCATCTCTCCCCTTCCACCTCGGTCTCTAGGAGCCACCTGGCGCTCACCTGCGGCGCGTTGAGTGATACATGTCAGCGGTTTCTCGCTTCTTGCGCCAACTCAGGGTGCGCGCTGGGGCTACCAGCGAGGGCGTCGCACGATATCACAATAACAACAATCGCAACTAGCAACTGGTCAACAATATTATTAATACCAAACATGGGCCAAGCTTCGAGCAAGAAGGAAGGCGGGATAAGCCCGAGGAGAAGGAGGGGAGCAGGAGAAGGAGGCGAAAAGAAGAATGATGGCCATCAGTAGGGGCAACGACAGGAGCATGAAGCAGGATTAAAGGGCCAGAGCAGGACAGGATCGGGGCAGTAGCAGTAGCATGGAGCATGAGGCGGGACAACATGAGGAGGACGGGGAGGATGAAGAGGAGGAGCAGGGGAGGCAGAAAGGTATAATGAGAAAAGACCTCGTGAGATGAGCAGACCTCGTGCGACGCTTTCAATACAATAATTAACCAGAGAGCAGCACATGTGTATAAAAGAAAGGGAGGGGAAGGGAAGGAGGGAGAGAAAATGAGAGAAAGAGAGAGGAAGGGGGAGGGATGGTGGGAGAGGGAGAGAGAAAGAGAGAGAGAGAGAGAGAGAATCAGAGAAAAAGAGAGAGAGAGAGAGAGAGGATGTGAGCATCTCCCTAGCGTCTGTTTGCGACGTTGGTCTGCGCGTATAATTGAATCTCGTTTCCGTTCGTTTCGGATTCGCGTTCTCACCTCGAACACCCATCTGCCGTAAAATAGACAGATCGCTTTGAAAGGATTATCGTGCGAGTGAAATGACGAGACGAGTTTCCTCTCGATTCGCTTCCCGTGTGATCATCGGGTGAGTTGAGAACATGCTTCTTGCACGAATAAATGATTACAGTGGTGGGGACAATAGTTGGGCGGCGAAAATCGAGAAAAAGAAAGGAGAGAGCAGGAGAGAGGAGAGAGAGAGTGTCTCTCTCTCTCTCTCTCTCTCTCTCTCTCTCAGAGAGAGAGAGAGAGAGAGAGAGAGAGAGAGAGAGTAGAGAGAGAGAGAGAGAGAGAGAGAGAGAGAGAGAGAGAGAGAGAGAGAGAGAGAG